ATTAGCTATGTCCATTGAGTTCGAAAGATCAGATCTGGCTAATTATGACCAAAAAAGAAACAATCGAAAAAGCACTTGCCAAGCTCTAGTGACGGTGCGGACAGTATCGACTCACCATTACGAGGCCGGGGAATTTTCGGATCCGGTTGACAGAGGCAAAACTGCATGGCACTCTCTTTCTGTGATTTGACGGGACTGGTACTGCTAGCTGAAGAAGACGATGATCGGTCTGATCTTTCTCGCATGGGCAATTCCTTGGTGGAGATTATGGGGCCGATAGGCTTGAGAGAGCCACTGGAGGACATCTTGTGTGCCTCTTTAGATGTAGTTAGGGAGATATGTTGATGTGTCTGGAGTACCCCCGTTGATCGAGGATCTGGATATCGGACTGCCCCAACTGGACCATCAGGGTGTCTCATGGCCATGGCTGACTTGGGCAATTCTTCGCTCATGATTTTGTGATCGAGTAAATTGCTCGGTCTAGGAAGAGTGACTTGGGCAGACTCATAGCGTAGAGCAACAGGGTTGGGGAGAACTCGATCGTAAGACATTTAATACTTTTCAATGAAAGGATCGAAGGCGAACTTTGAATCAAAGAAATAGGCGACAAGGGAAAGGTAAGAAAGTATAAAACCCTTTGAAAGAGGTAGAAGTGTGAATATGTTTGGGGGCGACTGGGCCCCAAGAAATAACAAGAAAGAAAGAGAGGGGCTAGAAGCGAGAAACAAAGAGGAATGAATCAGAAAAGAAAAAGGGAAATAATCCCAATAAGAATTGATTGAACTGGGGGAATACCAGGGATTAGACAAAGCGAAGTATAGCGTTTGAACCGAAAAGCCCTAAAAAGCGCGGGTTTCTTTGTCTTGGGTTGGTTTCCCCCGGAATCCCTGTCTAGCGGCTTATTCTTTGACAATAGCTCCAGATTGCCCTTGATATTTTGACCGAGCCAACCGAGAAATAAATTAAAAGAGAATTATGTATTAGGGAAGTTCTTTTTTTTTTCCTTTGTTATAATTCGATTCTTTCTATGGAGACTCCAGGACATGAAAATCTCAACCTATACTTCCAACGACACGGTACCCTTCAGATATTAACCACAACCAAAGATCAAATGAAAAATATGAGGTATCCAAAAAAAAAAAAAAGAGTCCCCTATTTTCTAATCTTTAGGGCCAAGGCACTAGAGTCATTGTTTTCTTTGTCTCCGGATGCGGCGACCCGCTTGATCGAGCCTGTCCAATATCGCTTACATTGATTGGGCGGATATTGTGAATTGGTTCCCCGTCAAATCAGACAAAGAAATCTTTAACAAACACGTTAGACAATTTTTTAGTTTTAGGCTTGATTGTCTAGCATTGTCACCTGAACGTATTTCCTATTATATGAATGTAAATATATCGTAATTTCAAATCAACATCTCGGGATCTGGGATGATCTCATTGTCGATATCCACTAGCCGTTACAGTTGATTTTGAACAATACCACCTTTTCCCCTATTTTCCTCTAAACGTTGTCTCGGGTGCCTCTTTTCCGTTTAATCTGTTCCGGTTTGACATCGGTACTACCCTGCCCTTGAATCAAAAGGGAGATCCACCTGTGAACCCTTGTCTAGTTCGTTCGAACCTGGCCATCTTACCCGCATCAAGCATAGTCGGGTAGTGCGTTTGACACTCGGGTACCGACATTACTATAGACTCCCGGGCCCTTTTGGAGACGTCATATTTGTCACCGTTCTTTTTTTTTTTTTTTTTGAAGAATGGCGTCTCATTGATCTAGACAATGTCTAAGCTGCAAACCCCCATCGGCTGTGGCGCTTCGGTGACACTCACTTAGGGTTCAACAGAACCCCATCAATCCCATGGTAGATCTCCGTAGCCATGAGCCGGTGAGCTAAAGGACCTAGATGCATTTCGTTCCTGAATATGTTTCGGTCAAAAAATATGACACTTTAATCCGTCGATCCCTCCCAATTCTTAAGAAATGGTAAAGGAATGACGATGAGGGGGAAAAAAAAAAGGAACCACTCACCAGAACAGATACTTATCTGGATGCTCACACTGTTTCCTCTCCTTTGACATCATGACCCGGAACCCACTCTCAACACAAGGCTCCTCGACATTTTCCCACCCATCCAAGTTCTTCCCAAGACCGTTCTCCTCCTCAATCCCCGCCGCATAGAGCTGCCAGTCACGGATGCGGTCCATCATGAAAGCATTGGTATCAAAGAGATACACAGTGCCATGACTCCACTCCTTAACCATCTCACGCAACTTCCCATTCCACTCTTCAAGGATCCGCACTGTATCCTTGTACTGATCACCAGCGAACTGAAACCCGGGCAGGAAAGTCACGTCAACCGTCTGCGTCAGAATGAGTTTCAGCTCCGTTGTGCCCAATTGCTCGGATAACGTGTCGAGTTGACCCATAAGCGTTGCAATGCGTCGCTCAACCGATTTGCTTGCTGTGTCGTAGTCCTTCGTAATCATGCCCCAGAGGTCCCAGACCCCAAAAGAGACGATGAAGATCGTCCGGTCCTGGCGGGACCGGACCGCTTCCTCGGAGAAGCCCTTCGTCGCGGCCGACTCGGCGTCTAGCCATTGCTGGAGCTGGGACTTGAAGTCTGCGAGGTGGGCCTGAGACCATTGGCCTAGTAGATCGAGTTCTTTGTTGTCGACCACTGCGCCGATGTTCTTGCCTTTTAGAAGTGGACTTGCTGTCTGTGCGAGGTTCTCTTGATGGCAGGAGAACTAATCGTGTTTCAGGTTGTTTCAGTCAGATATGATGCCTGTTTCTCCACGTTTTAAGCTTTCCCCGGGTGTTATCATACCATTGAACAGAGCCAGTCCGTCCATATCTCGCCCTGCGCCTCGCTGGATTGATTACCGTTCCATGAATTATCGCTCCATGAATCCCCAAACACAACTAATCGCTGGTCGAATGTACTGGCTACTTGGAACGGGTCTGATACCAAAGGGGCGACCTCGAGAACAGTCCGTGACTTTAAAAACCATGCTGATACAAAGATCGTGCAGACTGCGATAGCAGACAGTGCATAGAAACGGTTAAAAGGGCGTATCATGGTGACTGAACGGCCAGATGCCAGAATAGGCCCAGTTGAGCAGTGTCGAGCTTGGATCACAAGTCTTGTGCTTGTCTCGGGTATAAAAAATAAAGTCGCCACAAATGGCTCCGATGGCAAAGTGTAAGTCGTCGAGCTATGCTTCCAGCAATAACAATGCAACACAATGCAATCAGAGACAAATGTCTCTCAAATTCTGCGGGGAATTAAAAGATTATCCAGCACTGCAGAAATTGGCGAGGAAATCTCCACTCGGACAAGAAACCGGCAAGGTCGGATATGTGGCGGTTCCTCCAGAAACGCTACGGGAAAGTAGAAAGAGAATAATATATGATATATACTGATCAAGACTATAAGGTAGAGCTATAATATACAAGAATTAGCATCCAAAAAGCTAAAATTCCTATATTTGACGCAGATTCGTCACATTTGTAGATTGGCCGCGTGGCTCGGAGAGAGAGCCGAGTAGAATAACGTTCGATTGGGCAAATCAGAGTCGCCAATTTTAACTTCTTTCTACTTGCGCTGGGAATTGCTTGATCTGGTCTTTTCGTCTGTATTTAAGACTCTTGGTGATTTTTAGGTTCTCCTATTCTTTCACATTCTTCAGTCCGAATAGTGGAGACTAGTCTGCTTACATCTCATAAAGGCTACTGTACAAGGCCACGTTCAGTGGCGTGCTGTTTCGCGTTGTTTCAGGGATTTGGTATTCTGTTGGCCTATTTGCCGTCTGATACGCAATTCTTTCTTGGTCTATGGATGTGCCAAGACATCGTATACTGCAGATCTCTAGAGCGGAGTACTGTGAGACACAATGCTTCTATTGGGAAAAAGATGGACAAGGAAGAATAAAGTATGGGGAAAAGGTATATGGATAGGGGGAACTAATCATTTTGATATTTCTAGCTATAACAGTGAGAAAGACAAAGACTTCCGAAGAAACACATCGTAGTGGTATCTTGGATATGATCTTAGAACGTCCCTAATATTATTGAGCCAAACGGATCGGATTTCTGAAGCCCTACATTTCCAAGGACAAAGACCACATAAGCAGCCGACTATACTTGTACATGGTACCTGGAATGGGTCCTGCTATTAATCAATCAATGCTTCTCGGCCCTGAGTCTCCATACTCTGAATCCAATATCCACCTATCTCAGTGAGATGATAGGTCCAGGGGTTGGGGTTGTTTGCATGTATGATGCCTTGTCAATTATTCATGCATTCTGGCGTTTGCACGGTCTGACAAGCCAATGGTCTACACCAAAGGTCGGGCATATATTCAAATATGGTTAGTTGAGGCTGTCATTTGCGATTGTCGTACGAGGCTTGTGGTGGCTGTCAATAAGTCGCTTTGTGAGACCGTGTTCAGTCTTGATATATAAAAGTTGGAGTCTGGCCGGTCGGGACTGAATCATGGCCCGAAACATTCATTCATCATCCCGTTGGTGATTCCAGGTCGGTTGTATTTAAAAGTCGCATTGGGAGGTCTCACGCCTGAGTAAAGAGAACAGTGTTGGTTCAACGTCGAAAGAAAGTTGTAGTTGTTGGCGGTCTGGGATACGTCTTGTCTCTTGGATGCATAGTCGGCAGGGGCGAATTGCAAGTTCATCGTTGAAAATACAGTTAATTTGGTGTTTTCAGCGCTCTGTAAACACCTACGCCACAACATTTTGTGAACATGACTGAGTTAATGGACGAAGAAAAGAAAATGCCTGGGTGCTGAGGCCAAGTCACATGACCTAACAAAGCACACTAAACCCTATTTGGCGGACTCAAGCCCTACTTCCCACACGTGACACGTGACTTGCACCTCGCTAAGCCGGCGAACTAAAAAATCCACAATACAGACTCCTTCGACGACAATCTCACAAATCGACAACACACGCGCTACCGTCTTGACCGCGCCGCCTCCGTCAAGATGAAGCTCAACATCTCCTACCCGGCCAATGGGTCCCAGAAAATCATCGAGATCGACGATGAGCGCAAGCTGCGTCCCTTCATGGAGAAGCGCATGGGCACCGAAGTCAGCACTCCCTTAAACCTCATCCTTCCCCGACTGTCCGACAATCAACTCGATCAACATACACATACACACACACGACTATGGAGAACGACTGGCTAATTAGGATTTCTTTGATTAGGTTGCCGGCGATGCTCTCGGTGATGAGTTCAACGGTTACGTGTTCAAGATTACCGGTGGTAACGACAAGCAGGGTACGCATACCAATCCCTTTCTCTTCCCAGTGTCGGAGCAACGAACTCGATGATAGAGAATGGAATTCAACGCACACAACGAGAATCACAATGCTGACGAATTTTAATTTACAGGTTTCCCCATGAAGCAGGGTGGTACGTACACATCCGCACAACAACCTGGGGAATGAACAAAAAAAATTATATCCAACCCCAGGGATACAACCAACAAACCGCAGGATACTCATCGAATGATTTCTACAGTTCTCCTCCCCACCCGTACCCGTCTGCTCCTTGCCGACGGCCACAGCTGCTACCGCCCCCGCCGCACCGGTGAGCGCAAGCGCAAGTCCGTCCGTGGTGCCATCACCGGTCTGGACCTTTCCGTCCTTGCTCTGTCCATCGTCAAGCAGGGCGAGGGTGAGCTCCCCGGTCTCACCGACACCGTTGTCCCCAAGCGTCTCGGCCCCAAGCGTGCCACCAAGATCCGTCGCTTCTTCGGTCTCGACAAGAAGGACGACGTCCGCAAGTTCGTCATCCGCCGTACCGTCACCAAGGAGGGCAAGAAGGATTACACCAAGGCCCCCAAGATCCAGCGTCTGGTTACCCCCCAGCGTCTCCAGCGCAAGCGCCAACGTGTTGCCATCAAGCGCCGCCGTGCTGAGACTGCCCGCGATGCTGCGTAAGACCCCCCATTCTTTTTTGATATGCTCTGATCAATGATCTACGAGTGGTATTGGTTTTATTTTTTTGGAAAACATCTGAACTAACGGTTACATAGTAACGACTACGCTAAGCTCCTTGCCGGCCGTGTCCACGAGGAGAAGGCTAAGCGTGATGAGCTCCGCAAGCGGAGGGCTTCCTCCATGCGGAAGTAAACTTCCAAACCCGCGGTTTTATGATTTCGTTCTGCGGCGATGGGGTTTAATGGAGGAGCTTCACGTCTCTGGGATGATTTAAGGGGAATTCACAAAAAATGAATCACTCTCAGGGGCGCGGAGGATACATGTCTGATAAAAAAGAAAAGGGAACAAGAAAAGAGACGGGGAACAGGTTTCAAAACGTACAAAGCAGGCTGAGTGGTTGATACTCCATCTGTGTTGAACCTACCTTTTTTTGATGACCCTTTTTTTTTGAATGGAGTGCATGCAAATTTCAATACTCAGTTCTGTCAATTGCTGGCTTTTTCAAGGAGTAGGCGTAGTTATGGAGTAGTATATTGTATATTCCCTTTATATCTCTGTGGACTAACTCCACTTGAAACTTGGACTAGTTCAATCATACTAGTATTACCTTAAATTCCCCCGCGTCTAGTCATAGTACATAAGGTCACGTGTTGGTATAGAAGTTCGGAATTATGTTCAAGGGTATGACCTTCAACGACATGGCTACAGGGCTCTTCTACGTCCACACCTTTTGAGCGACTCGATGACTGTATGGGATTTACTATGTCTGCTCCACCTCCATGGCTAGTACCAAGGCCACATTTGTTCTACGTAATGTTCTAGAATCACAGCAATATATCATTTAGACTAGCCAACTCAAAGTTATAGCAGCACTTCTATAGAAAAACACCATGTCTAATTGAATTTTGTAAAGCGGCATCGAGGCCTTGAAACAATCTAAACCAAATAGCAGGTACTTCGCATATGAACAGCACGCACATGCACGATGCAACCGAACCCAGCCAAGGATAACCAACTTCCGCCAGAGAGAACTGCGTAAAGCCAACATTTAAACGTCGGTCTCTCTCTTAAAGAAAAGAAAAAAAACATAGAAAACAATAATAAAACACCCGGGGACTAACATCCTCGTCCGGCTAATAAAAAGGGTCATAAAAATCGTATTTTTTGTTTCCCGCTCACTCCACGGTTTCGCAACCACACTCGTAGGTAATCACTAGGACAACCCGTAGATTCAATCCTCTGTCTTGATGTATTCATATCTGCCTCTGATTTATCCCACAGTGTGCGAGAACAAGAAGCTAACTGACTCGCCGTTGTGTGTACGACGGCATGCCTCTGCCAACGTAGGGCTGATATCGATCGTATGGATCTTGTCGCACTGCTCTTGCTTGTCGCCCAATGGGACGGTGTTGCTGACGATAATGCTGCGAGGAGAGAGTTAGTTAAAAGTGACCTGTCGCTAGTATTCGGGTGTATACATACCGCTTGAGACAGCTACCGTTCAAGTTCTCGATCGCCTTGCCGGACAGAATTCCGTGTACAACGATGGCGTTGACTTCGGTGGCACCGTGCTGCATGACGGTTTCGGCAGCCTTGGCGAGCGTGCCGCAGGTATCGGCCATATCGTCGACAATGATAGCGACCTTGTCCTTGACATTACCGACAAGGACCATGCGCGAAACCTCATTGGGGCGGGCACGTTCCTTGTGAATAAGCGCGAATTGCAAATCCAGGCGATCAGCGATGGCAGTAGCACTAACAGCAATCCAGATTAGCCCTTTTACATTCCCCCGCTATAGTAATACAGGTGTAGTATCGAGGTAAGCAAAACTCACCGCTTAGCACCACCAGCATCAGGGCTGACGATGACACAGTTGCTGACATCGAGGTTCTCACGGATATACTTGAGCATGCTGGGCTCGGCGTACAGGTTGTCGACGGGGACGTTGAAGAAGCCCTGGATCTGGCTGGCGTGCAAATCCATGGTGATGACGTGGTTGCAGCCAGCGGTCTGGAGCATGTTCGCCATCAGCTTAGCGGTGATGGGAGCACGGCTCTTGTCCTTCTTATCTTGGCGGGCATAAGGGAAGTTGGGGATGACGGCTGTGATGCGGCGGGCCGAGGCAGTCTTGCAAGCGTTGATCATGATCAGGAGCTCCATAAGTCCATCGTTGATATCGTTGGGTTTCGTAGATTGGAGAATGAAGACTGCGACAAGTCATATATATGAGTGGGGGTTGAATGATTAAAGTGGGATGCACGTACCATCTTCATCCCGCACGCTCTCTCCGATTGTGACACTGGTTTCTTGGTTGGAGTATTGCAGGACCATAATCTTGGTCAACTCAATGCCGAGCCTGATTCATAGCTCTAGAATTAGCCGGTTGCCCAGTCTTGACCTCGTCGGTTACACATACCGGTCAGCAACTAGGTTGGCGAGTTCCGGGTGACTGTTGCCAGTCAAGAGCTTGATGGAGTTGGCCGACATGATGTAGGGCTTTGTGAAATAGTAAGAAGAGAAAGTTTCAATTCAAAGAAACCTCAAAACACACTCTTCTTCAAGATGACCGTGTTCGGCTCAAAAAATAGTTTTCCTCCGCGGCCCCGCATACCTTTTTTTCTATGCAGTCCCGTGACGGGCTCACCGCCTGATGATATAAGCCCCTTTCGCCAAGATTTGTCGGAATATGAAGTTCTACTAAAGAAATACACAGCGGGTTTGAAAGGAAAAGAAATAAATGCAGCAATCTAAATACATAAAGAGGGCTCTAGAAAGAACACGGTTGACCTGCACTTCAACCGAATCCCTTACCAGGTGCCTCAGTTTTCATCTTCTCATAAAGAAACTTCTCGCTGGCCTATTCCAGCCTTCCATACTCTCCTCATTCGTCCCCAATAAAAAGAAAATCCCGTAAGAATCGAGAGAAACGCCATACAATGCTTTGGCTTTCAATGAAGCCATTCCCACGCCATAGAATAGGACAACAATCTAGGCAAACCCGAAGTACTCACTGCCAGCCGTTACGGCCGTGTAAAGGCGTTGACGGAGATCTTCATAACTTTCATACTCAGGAAGATCAAGCTCTGTTAAGAATAGTTAGTAAATTGTGCTGATGCAGCCAATAAATGCGGAGGAAGACATACGGTTGAAACAGGTATGCGAGCTGGGAAGGCGATCTTTATGGCCATAGTCGCGATGGATGTTGAACTTGCTGACACCGTTCATACCCTCAAGCTCCTTGAAGCCATTAAGAGGAACCTTACTGGTTCCAGTGACGAATTGCAAAAGCTTGGCACGCTCTTCCTTGTCGAATGAGCGGACAGCACGCCAGAACCACTGGATCTGCGAGGAGGACGCGGAGTAGTTGTGATACTCGGTGTTGTTCTTCCACTCGTCCACGTCGATCTCAGGAAGACCAGAAATCAAAAGTTCCAGCTCTTGCTCGTTGAAGATGGAGATCAACTCGGGAGGAATGATTTCATGGAAACCCTTGAGGAAGTTGTCCAGTTGCTCGCGAACCGACTCAACGAGACGATATTCGACTACGCGCTGAACGTACTCCTCTTTGTTCTCCTGTGTAACGGGAATGTCGTGACCACCGGGCTTCAGGTCGATGACCTGCTTCTCGCCAAAGGCATCGGTTTCAATGGCAAAGGTCTCGGTAATGATATCAGTAATGTCATTCTCGAGCATCCACAAAAGTGATTTGTAGTAGTCCAAGTCGAGCGTTTCCATATCCTTGATAGACACGGCTCGTCCGAGGATATTCTTGTAGACTGCTCGGCTGAAGTGGCAGTCGAGGACACGGCCTTCGTACAAGGCCTTACCGATGATCCGCCCAATGAATTTGAAGAACATGAGATGCTCTGAGTTGACTCCACTAAGGCGGTTGGGGTGGAAGGTAGTCCGATCAGCGGCGACAGGGATGAACAAGGCGTAGTTGGGGTTGAACATGCCACGGGCAAGGACCTGGAACCATTCTCTGGTGACACCACCAGCATCGACACCCTCCTCGCCGTGGAATCGTACATTCAATTTGCCATACTTCAACTCATCTGCGCTCTTGAAGTACAAGGACTTGAAAGAGTCAAGGAAAACCTCAGCTCTGCGCACAGAGAGCTGAAGAGGAGGATGAGGGTGGCGAGGCTCGGCACCGCGGGAGTGGACACGACGAGTAAAGTAGTTGCGCTTGTTGTCGAATTCTAGGACCTTGGGATTCTTGACCAATAGGGAGAATGTGCCGCTCATCAGGCGAGGGTTCTGGCGGACGAGCTCATTGAGAATCTTGCGATGTTCTTCGGTGAACTTGAAGAAGATGTTTTCCATGCTGAGGCCAGCATCGGTTTGGGCGCTGTTGACTGACAACTCACGGCTGCCGCGAGATAGCGGCTGGTCCTTAAGCGTGGTGTTCTTGCAGACGACCATCAATGCCTCAATGAGGGGGAGGAGAATAGTAGCCACGTTCAGCATATTTTCCTTCTGCCGAATGACAGTCAAGCAGTCACTCAGCTTGGTCCAAAGTGGACCGAATGTAGCGCTTTCATAGAGTTTCTTGAGCACGTCCTCCTTTGGAGCGGACCCAGCCTCAACATCCTTGGACTTTTCCGCTCGTGCTTGGTCAAACAGATAATCAAGTGCGGTCAGGATACGTAGCAATTTCGCCTGGTCGGAGCTAGCTGGGGAGAACTTGGCCAGAGCAAGACCTTGCATGTCGGTGCCAGTCTTGGCCTGGTGGATATGAGGGAGAAGATCCCCCAAATCACCCAGGATGGTATCGCTAAGGGCCTGCGCTTGAGCAACCAGTTCATTGCCGATCACGTCTCTAGCTCCAGGAACAGCAGAGAGATTGTTGATGGTGGAAAGTGTATCGCGGAATATCTTGCCATTGCACTCACGAGCCGCAAGGATTTGAACAACCAGTCGGAAGTTGTGATCCGGAACGACAGGAGGCTCGATGGTTCGCTTCTTGCGCTTCTCGTCCTCGGCGGGCTTTTCGGAATCTTCAGATTTCTTGGCTTCAGCTGAAGTAGCCACTTCACCCTCCGCGGTCTCTTGACCAAGGGCTCCGGGGGTTTCCACAGTGGGTAGCGGAGCATCGGTCATGGATGTGTCCATACTGGAATCGGCAGCCTCAGCAGGTTGATCGGCAGATGCTTCGATTTCAGGTCTTTCGGGCTTCTTGCCCTTGCCATCTTCCTGTCGCTCCTTCTCGCGACGGAGGAGAACAGTCAATGGCTGTGTGATGCTGCTTAGGAGGCTAGACAGTTGCTCCATACAATTAGGGCTTTCCATTATCAACTTGCGGTCAAGGAGAGAAAGCAGCGCATTCAGAGCGAACTTGTTAGCTCGATTTTCTTTGCCTTTGCCCTTGCGCAATGACTTGAGTTTACCAGCTGAGGCAGAGTCATGCTCCGTCAGGAAGAACCAAGCAATGTGAGGGTTGAACTGCGAAAGGAAAGAGAGTGCAGCGATACATTGTTGGATGACCATAATTGGGGTCACTTCACTGCTGACACTCGAAGCAGTCTGGATAGCGAGGGATCGCTTAGACTGCGGCGTCTTTTGTGCTCCCGGTGCCTTTGCACGCAAAGAAAGATGAGAAAAGCTGCGTTCAATCGCAGTGGAATCAACGCTGCCATCCTGCAAAATCGAAAGAAGAACGCTAATCACTTCACTCCGGTTCTGACGGTTCTCACAAACATTGTGAAGAATATCGTTCAATTGGTGGCGAGCGTTACCCTGCAGAGGCATGAACATCAGGCGTAGAAGGGTTGCAACGCCAGCCTTGTCGAGCATTTGAACAATTTGACGTCTCTGCTCTTTCTTCGGCTCTTGGCCGGCAGCAGGCTCAGTTCTCTGTCGGTGATCGATGGCACTCATGTCACCAAATTGGGCCATGCGTCGGCCGCTACCGCCCATACCACGGGCTTCGGTCAAGTATTCTGGACCCAAGGTTGCGAGAACATCCTCGGGCTGATCGGCCAGAACAGCCTGGCGCAGAGAGGGATCGAGAGTGGCAAGGAAGCTGACAGCATCCATTTCTTCTGCAGGTTGAGTGGTAGAAGCTGTAGCGCCAGCACCACCAGCAGTAGCCGCCTGTCGTCGCGCGGTCTCACGTTCTCGCCGGCGTCGATCAGCCAATTCTTGTTGCAGCAATTCTTCACGGATCTCGGCAGGCAAGGCCTCAAGGAATTCTTGGTTTATCTCAGTATCCTCCTCACCCGCGGCGGCAGCCTGGGACCGGTGTTCAGCAAGCTGCTGCATGATGACTTCCTCGCGAAGTTCCTCAGGCAGAGCCTCTAAATATTCTGAATCAATCTCCAAACCGGTGATGTCAACTTGGCGGCCCCTGATGTTTGTGTAGACTCGACGAGCAGGTTCGGTGGGCTGGGCTTCGGGTTGAGTAGATGGGCCAGCGGTTTCAACCGTAGTATCAGTTTCTTGGACATCTTCCATGGGCTCATCGACCCCAGCAGCTTGGCGCTCGACTTCCTGTTGTTCTTTCTCTGCCTGCAGTCGGGCGTTTTCTTCCTCCTCCTTTTGCTTGAGCTCGCGCTGTTTTTCTTCAGCGGCAATGCGATCTTGACGTTCCTTTTCAGCCCTTTCGGCTTGAAGACGTTTGCGTTCCTCTTCCGCGAGCTTCTGGCGTTGCTTCTCCTCCTCGATGGCAGGAGGAACCAAGAGCCTCAGAATGGAGTTGACGATACGCTGGGTGCGCTCAACATACTGGCTGCTGAAGATAATGCGGGCCTCTTCTTGCCAGCGGTTTCTGGTGGTACCGAGACCAAACTTGACGGCAGTGTGAGGGTCGTCGCCGCGAGTGCGAGTTGGAGGGCCTGCTCCTCGAGGGATTCCAAGCATATCCTGGATACGACCGGGCAAGACTGCCCGTCGGTCCACATGGACATGAATACCATCAGGACGAGTGACAACGCCGAAACCTGGCGCCGCCTGTCCACCAATGGCTTGCATAATGGCATTCATGAAGCTAATGGGGCTATCCATGGCAACAACCCGGCCACCTGCAGGGTCAATAGATTGGCCCCAATCGGCGAAAGGATCAGCAGCAACCCCACGAGGTGGCACGGCGGGATCTGGGCGGTCAGTCCGGACAAGAAGAGGATTAGTGCCATCGTCGTTGCCGCGGGACGGGAGTTGGGTTCGGTGGACACGGTGATAAGGCTGGATAGGGACAAGACCGGATTGGCGACCCGGCATGATTTCAGTGACGGTAGCCCAGGCTGGTGGTGGGCCTCCGCGGAAGCGGGATTGGGCATTTCCTCGGGCCATTGGAGGCTCATCGCCTTCCCATCCCCATGGCTCAAGAAGATCATCGTCTTCTAAACGAGTCAGTAATGATGTGAGAATATCGTTAGGATAGTTGGACTCACCTTCCATATCCCCATAAGATCCTTGTTCCTCATCGAAATCATCCATGTCCTCGTCAAGTTCATCCATTTCGTCTTCGTCTTCAACTGGACCGGGTG